GAGTCAAAGCCCTGAGTTTGAGAATCTTAAAAGGGGACCTGCTCAGCTCTATGCCTTCTTTTCTACAGCTCTTTGCTACCTGACATTGTCATCCTCTCTATAATGGGAAGATGTGAAAAGAAAAGGATACAATGTGTCCTCTCCTGTCTTTATGACCGGGATTTTACATTCCAGCCAGATTAGTTGAATGTGACAATCAGGGGCTTTGGGAACACAAAGAACCTCTCTCTTCTGCACCACACTAATGCTTTCCCATGGCTCTCACGATTGCCCCTTAGGTTCCTGAGGTAACAGAACAGTGAGGGTGACTTTTGAAGTGTGTGAATAAAGTGTATGACTACCCACAGCAGATGGGAATTGTGGAGCTGAAATAAGGATTCTGGGAGATGCCTTCCAAATTCTTACTCCCTAGCCATGACTGTTCTTATACATGACTGACGGATATAATGGTCTGTTCCAGCATCTCTGTGGTGACTTAAATGAGAACAGACTCATGGGCTCATGTATTTGAATGCTTGGTCTCCAGGTAGTAGAACTACTTGGGGGAGGGTTAAGAGGTGTGGTTTTGTTGGAGGAGTTTTGTGGCCTTGAAGTTTCAGAAGCTCTCAGTTTCTTGTATGAGTTAAATGTAGCTCTAAACTGGGTACCATGACTGCCTGCCTGAACCATGTTGGTGATGAAATTGTATGTATTCCATTGGAACCACAGGCCCCACTCCGAACAAACCCTTCTTTCTAGAAGGTGCCTTGGACATTGTGTTTTATTACAGAATAGAAAATAATATAACCATCATCCAATCAAAATCTGAGTGACATGGACGAAGCTCGAAGGCTTCATTTGATGTGCTGAAGGGGTGTTTAATAGTGGATTATGCCAAAAGAGTTGAGACCATTCCATAATGTTTGCTTAGATAGGATACATAGAACACCAACTGATTTAATGAGATACATTTAGGAAGAGTCAGTTTTGAAAATGCATTTGATGCTGTTTGTCAGGAGGGGAGCCTCATCAAGTTTTATTCCAATTACAAATAATGACTCTAGGTCATTTTTATTCATGACATCTCAGGGAGATTCTTTCTGTACCAGGTTTGAGGAGACTTTGTGCTACCTATGTGAAAAACTCAAACGTTCCAAAGCTTACCCAACATCATCAAACAATGTAACACAGAGATGATTAAACAAAATAGCTTAAGAAACATTTTTGTCAAAGGAAAGCAGATGAGGAAGTAGACATTCTACATGTGTGTCCAAACTGCTCAAGTGCATCATGTGAAAATGTTCAGTTCATTGGTTTCCTTGAGAATGACAAACTTGAACACATCAGAGCATGAGATATCTGTGAGCCTTAGACACACTTTCACATGTAGTATGTTTCACTAATTGCTTCATTTACTAAGTATGCTTAAGCCAGTTATAAAAAGGAAATGAAAGGGACACATGGGACAAGTATAGTTTTCCAGGACACATGCCACATGGAAAATAGAAACACTGAAGATGAGTGAAAAGACCCTGAAGATATCTTTTGAATGGTTAGTTACACAACAGGAGCATCAATTAATATAAAGACACCATTTATTTATCAGGATACATAATTTCGTATCATTCTAAAAATTACTGGTGTGGGACAATTGTCTACATTCTGCCAATTATGTTTTAAATAAATGATGACTGGCCAGTAGCCAGGCAGGAAGTATAGGCAGGGCAACCAGACAGGAAGTAAAGGCGGGATAATGAGGACAGGAGAATTCTTGGAAGAGAGAAGCTCCCTTGCAGTCCTGTCGAGACACAGAAGAAGCCAGATGTGACTACGCCGCTGAACAAGGTACTGAGCCATGTGGCTAACACAGATGAGAATAATGGGCTAATGTAAGTTATAAGAGTTAATAAGAAGCCTGAGCTAATGGGCCAATCAGATTATGATTAATGAAGACCTCTGTGTCATTTCTTTGGGACTTAATGACTGTGGGAACCAGCAGGACAGAAACCTCAGACAACACATTATTATTGGGGTGTGTGTGCTAATGTGTTCGCATTTCTATGTTTGTTTGTGCTATGCTAGATGCTAGTGTGTGTGTGTGTGTGTGTGTGTGTGTGTGTGTGTGTGAGAGAGAGAGAGAGAGAGAGAGAGGATAACCTTCAGGAGGTGGTTCTCTACTTCTACTGGGTGAGACAAGGTCTCTCAGTGTTTCTGCTGCTCTGTGTGTTCCAGTCTAGCTGGTTTGTAGGTTTCAGGGCTGTTCTACTCTCAGCATCCAATCTGGATTTAGGGGTGCTGGGATTACGTATGTGAGACACTTGTTGCTTGTTGTGTTCTCTGGGATAGAACTCAGGTCATTAGGTAAGTGCAAGGTAAGTGCTCTGTCCTGCTGGCCTGTGTGTGTGTGTGTGTGTGTGTGTCTGTGTGTGTGTGTGTGTGTGTCTGTGTGTGTGTGTCTGTGTGTGTCTGTGTGTCTGTCTCTGTGTGGGTCTGTGTGCCTGTGTGTCTGTGTGTCTGTCTCTGTGTGTATCTGTATGTGTGTGTGTTCTATCTTAAAAAATGAAAAGAAGTGTGTGTGCAGGAGAGAAGAGAGAGACAGAGATAGAGATAGAGATAGAGATATTGGTTTTCAGCAGTTCAGAAGGAAAATGGAGAAAACTCATTGCAAGGTGAGCTTTTTTTTTTCTCCTAAGCTAACCATCATCTTTGTGCCTTTGGGACCTGTGTACAGTGTTTCTAGCTGTGCCTTTTCATGAAGACTTCTACTTAGCATTCTGTTAGCCAGGGGAACTGACTTATCTTGTTGACTGAGTTTTCTGTCCTGCCCCATTCCCGCAATTGTTAAGTCCCAAAGAAATCACACAGATATCTACATTACTTACAAACTTTTTTGGCCCAGTATCTCAAGTTTCTTATTAACTCTTACAACTTATATTAGCCCATTATTCTTATTTGCCTTAGCTACATTACTTGGCAGGGCAGTCACATCTTGCTTCTTCTGTGGCTGGGACAGTACTACAGAATAAGTGTCCTCTTCCCAGAATTCTCCTGTTCTCCTTGCCCTGCCTCTAGTTCCTGCCTGGCTAGTGGTCAATCAGTGTTTATTTAAAATATAATTGACAGAATACAGACCATTGTCCCACACCATTATCTAGCTCAGGTTGGTGATTTTATACTCATTACACTGCAATTACCAGATAATGGATTCTAAGAAACTCATGTGCTAATATACTTTTATGCAAATCTAACATGATAAAAATGATCTCTAGTTTTATTTCAGTCACATTTCTGAAGGATAGAAACCACTGCCTTTGCTTTATTTGCCTCAAGAATTTGCTAATATCTCATTTCTGTTAGTGATATTGTGGTTTATATTCTAATCCTTTGCATATCCCAGATGTTGGTTCCTTCATGCCAAGAGGAACACCCATGGTCCCAACATTCATCACATTACCACTTACTTTCTGTATCAGCCTAAAAATTCTACTTTAGTCTAGAAATTATATCTGTATTAATTTATATCATTTTAATTTATATGCTAATGAATTTTCACTGAAATCTTGGAAGATGCCTGGCAAGTGAATGTCTGCTTATTAAAATCTCTTGAGATTTATCTCCCTACTAACCATCCCTTGATCAATAGCTAATATTAATTTATAAACCAAATTAGATTATGCTTAAAAGAACATTTGAGTTTGGTTCTGAATATAATTGCAGTTACCAATGGCTTCATTAGGTATAATAATTATGTTGGATATACCCCTGTCTCTCCTAATGTTGAACTTAGATGCTTCAAGGTAATTAGCTAACTATTAACCATTTGTAATTGAGATTGGCAATTGGTGTATGTAGAGTGTGAAAGTACGAACTGATGATTCTCTGAATTTCCTCAGTGTCTGATGGTATGTTCCTCTTCTCATTTTTGATTTTGTTAATTTGGATATTCTCTCTCTTTCTTTTTGGTACTTTGGATAAGGGTTTGTTAATCTTGTTGATATTCTCAAAAACCTCCTTGTCTCATTGACTCTTTTTATTGTTTTCTTTGTTTCTATTTTATTGATTTCAGTCCTCAATTTGATTATTTCCTGCCATTTACTCCTCCTGGGTGAGTTTGCATTTTTTGTTCCAGAGCTTTCAAGCGTGCTGTTCAGACGCTAGTGTGAGATTTCTCCAGGTTCTTTATGTAGGCACTTAGTGCTATGAACTTTCCTGTTAGCACTGCTTTCAAAGTATCCCAAAAGATTGGGTATTTTGTGCTTTCATTTTCAGTGAATTCTAGGAAGTCTTTATTTCTGATGAGAATTTTTTAGTTTCCATGAGTTTGTGGGGTTTCTGCAATTAGTGTTGCTCAAGTCTAACTTTAACCCATAGGTGATCTGATAAGGCACGGAATTATCTCAATTTTTTATCTGTTGAGATTTGCTTTATACTGAATATGTGGTTGATTTTAGAGAACCCCACAGAGACAGCAGACCCAAGGTCCTAAGAGTTCACTGGATCTTGACTCACAACTGGGAAACCTGTGTAGGACCAAACTAGGCCCTCTGAATGTGGATGACAGTTGAATGGCTTGGGCAGCTTTGCGGGGCCTCTGACAGTGGGACCAGGATTTATTTATCCCTAGTGTGTGAACTGGCTGTTTGGAGTCCATTCCCTATGGAGGGATACTTTGCTCAGTCTGCATACAGGGAAGACAGACTTGGTCCTACCTCAAGAGAGATGACAGACTTTGTTGACTCACCATGGGAGTCCTCATCCTCTCTGAGGAATGGGTGAGAAGAGGGAGACGGATAAGGTAGGGAGAGCAGGAGGAAAGGAGGGAGAAGGAACTGGGATTAGTATGTAAAATAAAAAAAGTTGGTCTTAAAAAATAAAAGAAAAAAGAAGTAAAATAAATAAATAAAAACACAAAAGAAGGCTAATACTTTTTATAGTTGCTGTGATAAAACACCTAGCAGAGATTATTTAAGGAAGGAAAGAAGGCTCATGGCTACAGAGAACTCCTGCTTGCCTTCCCTGCTGTAATGGACAGACTTTCCCTGCAGCACTTACAGTAGGGAAAGCAATTGGGGAGGCTTTGTCTGTGGCCGTGGTCTATTGCTTCTCACATGCTGATAGACAGGGAAGCAGACAACTCAGAACTGGTTCCAGAAGTAGTGATGACCAGTAAGACCCACCACAGACATCCTTTTGCTAGCTAGACCATATCCCAAAGGTTAAATAATCTTCCAAATGGTAAGAAAATATTCAAAACATGATCTTCCTTCTCTCTCTGTCTCCCTCTTTCTCTTGCTTGGTGGTGGTGGTGATGTGTATGTATATGTGTGTGTTAATGCCAAAAAATTTCTATCAAAGTGTAAATCAGGGTCCAGTGTGATGGCTAAATGGATAAAGGCACTCGCCAGCATCAGTGACAACTTGGATTTGATCCCTGAGACTGAAATGGTGAGAGGAGAGAACGGATTCTGCTATGGCACACGTGTTCCATGCTTCCCTCCCTCTATCAAATGAATAGAGACCAGGGTGTCCTTGAACTGACAGAGAACAGCCAGCCTCTTGTTCAGGAGTGCAGGGATTAGAGGTGTGCACCAACATGCCAAGCCTCCTATTTCTATTTTTCCTGCCTCTGTGTTCTCTGGATTTCAATGTGTCAAACTGGTAGACTGATGTGGCCTGGGGGCTAAGAAGTTAGCATACTTCCTGAGAGTTCATTTCCAATGATGATATACTATAATTATTCGTGTATATTCATTCTGGGAACAGGAAAGATGGCTCAGTAGTTTATAACACTTGTAGCTCTTGCAGAGATTTGGGCTTGATTACAGCATCCACACATTGGTAATCTAAGGCCTTCTGAAAATATACATATTAAATTTACAATTCATTACATTACAAATATTAAAGTTATGAAACAGCAGGGAAAATAATTTTATAGTTAGGGTCTCCACAACATGAGGAACTGTATTAAATGATCACAGCATAAGGAAGTTTGAAACTACTGCCTTAGAAAGTGACTAGCTAGCATGGCTGTTCACAGGAGTGAGGGTTTGAAGGAGGCAAAGGATGTTTGAGGCTCACTTCCTCTTCTCTGACACTATTTGCAACTATACAGACATAGAAAAACAAAGGCATCACTCCCCTCACAAGCAAATATGTTACTTTTCAAAGTAGTAGGAATTACCGTGAAGCATGATTTTTTCCAGAGTATTCAGGCTTTGCCTCTCCCAGAGAACTTAGGATCATCTCCGATTTCCTAAGGACTGCTTGGTCCTTCTTCTTTACTGCAGAGATCTTGTTAGAATATAAAAATTGTTTCCATATGTTATGCAATGAAAAGACAGAGGATTAATTTTCCTGGTTTTATTGTGAAATGAACTCTTATGTTTTGGGGTGCACATTTTCAAAACTGCTTCATTCCTTACCAGGCACAGTAGATTGGAGCATGAAAAGTAGGAACTATTACTTAAAAGTGAAATATCTTCTAATGTACTTATCTATTTACAAATTACTATGATATCATCAAGAAGTAAAAAAAAATATTTTTGCTAGCTAGATTGAGAAAATCATGAACTGAGAAATTTGGCCTTTCCCTATGACTGAGACTAAACTGAACTCCCCATATTTTAAAATTCCAAAATCTTATATGAAATGATTATTAATTTTATAGGCCCCCTTTCATCAGTGTTTCTTGTCTATGGCAAAATGCATATTATTTTCCATTTATAAATAAACTCTCAATTACTAGTGTCCTCCATTTCATAGTATCTGTGAAACTGCTTTATAGAAACCCATTTGTCCACTGAATCACATTCAAAACTCATTAACATTCAAATTCTGATTCACATAACCCTTACTCTAAGGCTCCAGGTTAAAAACAGGATTCCTAACCTCCAGCAGCTCACGGTGATGAGGTCACTTTACTATGAATAGGTTAATATCTAATTACAACCCTAAAATACTGTAAATGTGTGAACGTGACACAAAGAATCAGAGTGTATGTTATTGTCAAATACAGAACAAATATCCAGAAATCAAAGGGTTACTATATGGAAATTGAATCTTAACATCTACAACTGTTGGCTAATTGGGGAAAAATACTTACTGTGTAACTGGAGAAAGAGTTTTCAATATCCTCCTAGTGGAACCAAATAGAAAACATGGTGTAATCTCTTCACAATGAAAACTTATTTGAACAGATTACAAATAGCTAAATTTCCACAATTTCTTGCTAGCGTAAATAAAGAAGCAAAGAGGCAGACAGAGGTGATGCTCTTATATGTGATTCTGAAATAGTAATATCCAAAAGAAGAGAAAACCTTCCTGCGATTATGCTGAAGGAAAGGCACCTGGGTGATGCCTGGACCACTGAAATAACTGGACCCTTAAAAATGTATTCAGGTGTATTACCACAGTCATTTTTAAAATAAGTCTAAGGTTTATTTATTTCTGCAAGCCAGCCTTGGTCAAGCATCAGGCCCCTTCTATGATGTGAGAACCACACTCAATCTCCCACTCCCTGTATTTCCAGCTCATTCTCTTATTTGACCACGGCTATCTGCAAGGACTTACTGCTCACAGGAACTTATGAAAAGGAGGGTGAACAAATACTAAATACCTTTCTCTGACCAAATTTCCATATAAAACTGTGATAGGTAGACTACTGCCGCACTGTAACAAAATCCATAAGAAAATGAATCTCACAAAGGAGAATGTTACCTTAATAGCGGAGGTACTGCCCTTGTCCTCTGTTATAGATGCAGGAACATCAGGGTGTTAGGAGAGCTGTTAGAATGAAAACATGCAGTGATGGGTGAGTTTGGTCCTTAGAGAAACTCTGTTGAAAGATTTGTTACCTGTACACTAAATAGTAAAATGCTGGAAATTTTACCTGGCATGCCACTGCCACGTGGTGATATATAGATTAATAGAAATGCGTTTAACCGAGATGTCAGAGTTAGTCAATAAGAAGCTAGAGCTAATGGGCCATCAGTGATTTAATTAATACAATTTCTGTGTGGTTCTTTCTGGGCTAAGCTAGCCAGGCAGCCGGGATGAACAAGCACCCTCCTTGCAACAGAAATAATGTAAAGAACAGTCACCCACATTACAACAATACTGACTCTTTTCACCTCATCTCTTATGGGAAGAGGGTCTTTCAGATCCTCTACACTCCATCTACTCCTATTCACTTGATGCTGTGCTCTCCATAGGCAAGGTAGGTGAGAAAGACACTGTGGTGACAGCTGCTGAAAGCCCCAACTCCGTAGTGTTCCTCCCACTCTTAGAATCTTATCCAGACTCAATGGAGCAGTCAGCACTGTCCACTGCAGAATGATGCTCTTTTCTCAGCCTGCCTCCTACTGTGGAAAATTGTTCTGGAAATTACGTCTTTTCGCATGTAAACCATGTATCACCACATCCTACACTAACTAATAAAACCAAAGGAAAAAGTTGCTGGCAGTATAGCCAGTAGGGTGAATGCCAATCTAGAATGCTTATAATGGCAGTGATCAATCCCCAGCAGTGCCTACAGGACTCAGAATCAATTCATTTTTTTTAAATAATTGAGCAAGCATATTATTATTTCTTATGTGAAGAATTTTGTCAAGATATATGCAGATTAAATGGCATAATTAAAGGTAATCATAAAACCATAGGTGAATTGCCTAATATGACTAAATTGAGAAATTATAGAAAGGAGAAAAATCCACAAAAACTTAGTTACAATTAGTCCTCAAAAAACTTAAAGTAATTGAGTACTGTATTCTTGGGTTTATTTTAACATGATCACCTTATTGATATTGACATATATAATAATGTATAACATAAATACAATATGTTTATTATAAAAATTCCATTTTCTAACAGCAAACTTACTGTTACGTGACTATAGAGGACACATACTGTGGAGTAATTAAGAGTTTTTTTATTTGTACAAAGATAACATGTGCATCAGAAGCTCATGTTAAATAAACAAACATGTTTCAGATGATACAACTTGAGACTGGAAATTTCTCAGAAACTATTTCTTAAATAATTCTGAATATAAAGGTCATTAGGAAGCAAACCAAAAAAAGAATTACATTTCTATATTATTTTTTGCTTCTTTTTTTGAAAGTACCAAGCTGTTATTATAATTTGGGATGTAGCAGCAAAGTACTGACCATTTATTGTTACCTCCAGTATCTGAAAAGACTTCTTGAGTATGGATTTTAGTAGTACTGTTGGTCTTACTCCACTGTGACATATTTTAAAAAGTAATATTTTAATATTCATGTAAAAACATTTATCAAATGCTTTTTGTTATTTGATGTTTGATTTCCTAACATAAATTAGAGATTTAACTTGTCTTTCAATCAGTTGATTAGTTTTGGTGACCCTTTCCTTAAAACTTTTTTTCATGTGAAAGAGAGAATTTAGTCCACAAAAATTAGTCCATTCAAAGCATAGAAAGACACACAGACACACACACACACACACACACACACACACACATAGAAAGACACTGGTTACTCCACAGCACTTGAGACTGTTTAGAATTCCAAGTAGAAAGTAATGTGGTTTTTGCAAGGTGTGTCTTTGAACATTTGTAGCTACTGTAAATTATAAAACTGCACTTTGAACATTAGCTGTGATGATTTTTGATTCTTTTAACTTAGAGCGAATAAGTAATTTACTAATGTGTATCCAATGTTTTATTGATACATGGTCCCACAAAAGATAACACAATTGTCCTTTATTATGGAAGTAATCAATCAAGATAAGCACAGACCTGGCTTGACATACAACCTTTAATTTTCTGCCAAATCAGTGTCTGAGATAGCATAGCATATTGACAGGAAGGGGCCTTAAACTCTATGTTCATGTCTACCTGATGGGGAAGACAAAGCCCCCTTGTCAAAGAATAGTCATGCTACAGTTTGGCTCTCTAAATTCAGATAATCTATTGAGATTCAGAGACTTCATTGCCGTAGAAAGCAGCTCACATGAATGGACAAGCAATGGATGGAGCACTGTGGTAGGAGGAAGGCATGGGTTCTTCCACCATCTATGAAAGGATGCTACACTGGACAAAAGAACCTCTGCATGTAGAGGTGATGTCAAAGGAGGAAAGTAATTTGTTGGCTTCTTGTAATACTGTGTGATAACTCAGATGGATCCCAAATTCTGTCATCTCTCAGAAGGTAAATGGGATGAAGTTCTAGTTCACAAGCTGAATTCAGAAAGGTTTTGAAAAGGCAAGGAGTGTCAGATGGATGTAGTGTGTGTGGTTAACAGCAGCAGGCTCATTTTTCAGAACAGAATTGTTCCTGGGAAAATGATGGTTAAGTATAAACCTCATAGTATGTCCATGATCTACAAGCAATTTTTCAGTCTAAAAATACATTGATAATACTGTGGGGACTCTAACAAAAAGCAAAAATTGATTGTTTAAAATGGTATCTATCTGAGAATACAACCAATAATTAGCTTGTTACCTTTTAATTTCCTTAGTATTAATTATATTAAACCTTACCTGCAATAAGGAATTGGATCAGTACTGTAATGTACTTCTAAAAAAAATCAAAAGTCATTTTATTATAACGCTAGAGAAATATAACATAAAATGTGTAGACACATAGTATCATTTTTTGAGGCCAATCTATAGTAATATTAATACTCTTTTGTCAGCAGTTTCTTCATGTAGACTTTACCCATTTTCTGTATATTTTTAAATCAAAGAAGACTTAAATTTATCAAGGATAATACCTAAACTAAACCCCCACCCATACACAGATGTGATGACCCTAAATGACCTCTCTCAGACAGATGGAGAGCAGCATCCTTGCCAGTAGAAGCATCAATTGACTGTGTCACAAAATAGCTTCTGCGGTTCTTGTTTGACTTTGGGCTAATGACATTAGAAAGAGTTTCTAGTTTCTTTGTGGTAGTCACACCTTTAATCCGAACACTCGAGAACAGATACAAATGGCTATATGGGAGCTCAAGGCCAGCCTGGTGTACAGAAAGAGTTAAAGGGTGGGACTAAATCTACACAGCAAAATCCTGTCTCCAAAAACCAAAATAAGCATAAACAAACAAAAAAAAGGAATTGAAACTTTCATTCATTTTATTTGTCTTTTTTAAAGTCAGGGAAACTTAGTGCCTTCCTAGCATTCCCCAGGACTCAGGAAGGCCATTTGAGCCACCAACTAGTTGGCTGGGATTGCGGCTCAGTGGTGAAGCCTCTGCTTACCATGCAGGAGCCATCAGTCGGTTCTCACCACCACAAATGCCAAGAACAGCAAACCTCATAATAAAGTGACACAAAGCTGTCTCCATTACAGTGATATCGACTCTCTTCATCTTACCTCTTGAGGAAAGAAGGTTTTGGATTCACTACCTAGTGAGGTTGCCACTGGAAAGTTAGGTATAAAAGGCACTGTGCTGACAGTTACTGAATTTAAACACTCTGTGGTGTTGCTGCCACTGCCACAGTCTCTCCAGACTCAATGGAGAAGCAGCTAATTTTTTGAAATACAGAATGATGTCGTTTTTAAAACTCTTTTTGTTCCAATTTTTCTTGTTGAATCCTGCTTTGTAGCATGGAAATGATGTACCCCCTTAATCTGTTCTATTAACAAAAACTAAAGGGAAAAGTACTAAAGGTAGAGATAATGGGTAGGGTGTTTGCCTAGAATGTTCCCAAAGCTTTCTGTTCAACCTGTAGCACTTCAGAAAACCAAAAACAAGAAAGAGAGGAAGGAAGGAAGGAAAGAAGGAAGGAAGGAAGGAGAGAAGGAAGGAAGGAAGGAGAGAAGGAAGGAAGGAAGGAGAGAAGGAAGGAAGGAAGGAAAGAAGGAAGGAAGGAGAGAAGGAAGGAAAGAAGGAGAGAAGGAAGGAAGGAAGGAAGGAAGGAAGGAAGGAAGGAAGGAAGATAAAGAAAAGAAAAGCCTGTCAAGATTGATAAGACTTCCTAAAATCAATACATTCACTACGGAACAAAACTTTCAGCCTAAAATGAAAGATTTCTAAAGAAAATTGTTATACAGTATGACAAAACTCTCCAAATGAGAAATTTTACAGACATTTAAGAGGTCAGATGGTTTTATTACATCATAAGGTAAGAAATTAATTAATGAATGTGATTGATTATTGAAGTTGTGACATAATTACATTTTAGTGACACTGAGCTGTGTAACCATATGCAGTTAAAAATATAAGGTATTTGTCATAAAAACTCAAGAAGAATCTGTATTTCTAACAATCCTATTTGTTGCAATGTTACTACAGAAGACACTTGTGTTGTAAAGATGTTTTCTTTTTTATTCAAAGGCAGTACAGATATCAATATTAAAATGAAAGAAGCAATGTTTTGTCAATATATTTTCACAGTTGAAAGTGCTTGGAAATAATTTCTTAATTAATTCAGGCTTTCCAGAATATTTGAAAACAACAGAACTGCTTTTATACTTGATTTTCTTACCTCCGTTTTGGCAATCTAAAATCTTTTCTCTTCCTTATTTCTTCAGGGAGGGTAGGAGCAGATGAAGCAATTCTTACCTTTGTTGAAGCTGACACGCTTTTTCTTTGTCTGTTCTGACTTTTTGCAGCTGTTCGGTCACTGTGGCATATGTTCAAAATGATAATCATTTAATTATCCACATAAAAACACAGCATGTTTTCTAACTTCTTTATTCTTGAGTCCCTAGTATATCTCACATTAGATATTTGCAAATACTTTTTTTTGAAACAGGATCTCATTACGCAGTCCAGCTCACTTTAAACCCACTATATGTATCATGTTGGTCTTGAAATCAAAGAGCTCTCTCAGTCTCCTGCCTCCCAAGTCCTGGGATTAAAGGCATGGGAAAGAGGCCCAGCCAAATAACTCTAAATTCAAACATCATCATTTTCATCTTTCCTCATTGAGAAGAAAAAATAATTTACTTCATAATCAAACTACAAAGACACACACACACACACACACAAATGATCGTAGTGCTTTGTCCAGATGATTTGCTTTGAATGCTCCAGTAACCGTGTATTTATATGCTCCTGGAGTCAGTGCTCCTGTTCCGTCCATCTGCCCACGTCCCTATGGCCCCACAGTCCTATCTCTGTCATGTACTTTGGAGGTCTTTCTTTGAGTGCTATGCTCTCAGTGGTCAGTATATGAAGAACTTTTTTTTTGCCTCTAAGCATCCCTTTGCCTGCATTTCAGAAGCCGTGACATTTGCGGGACTTTCAAATTGTTTTAATAGTTTATACATGTGTGAATGTTGGATCCACAGCCTGGGTGTTTCTCTGTTCAGTAAGCCTTTCTGTGTGATCCTGAGTCTTTATAACGCACAACCAGGTTCAAAACTCAAGGAAAGCAATGTGCCTTTGTCAGTTTTATTCTTCCCAGGTCACAGCTAAGACTGCTGGATTTCAGGGCCTATAGCAGTACACTCCAGACCAGCAGCTTTATTTTCCTAGTTTCTGCGTTGGCTGTCATCACGGTCTTGGAACTTGTCATAGGGACTTTTACCTGTGGTGTGAACCTTGTCCAAAACACCACCACAGCTGTAGTGATCTCCAGCAAATTATAGGAAAACCTTCAACCTTGACCACTGTTTTCAATGTCTTTTTAGCAGATAAAAATCCCTAGTCTTATTAGATCAAGGATCTAAACTTATTTTTTAATCTTCATATTTGATATGCGTTCCTGTTCACATGTGTGTATGCTTTTGTCTGTTCATCCCAGTGCATGTTTTTAGGTCAGAGGACATCCTTGACGGTCAGTCCTTGCCTCCTAACTTAGTTTTGAGGCGGAGTTTCTTGTCATTAACAGCTGTAAAGGCCAGACTAACTAAAGTCTAACATTCTAGACAGTTCCCTGTCTCCATCTCCCATGTCCCTCTAGGTGCCCTGAGATTAAAGATGCACACTAGCACACGAGGCCCTTTCTGTGTTCTGAGGAGTTAAACTCTGAATTCTTGGGCTTGTGTAATAAGTACTTTATTCCTGAGACATGTTCCTAGTTGTGATTTCCTAAGACTGTGCTATACCGTGTCAAAGTCACAAGCGTATTTTCTCTGTATGCTTCAAAAGTGTCAGTTTTACAAATTTCTGTTTATCTTGTATTAAAGGAGGAATAAATAACATTAACTTGTTCTCATTAGAGAGAAACACAGGCCCTCTAACTAGATTACAAGTCTAATTGAATGTGCTCTTCACACAAAGCCTTAGTTCCATAATTAACAGCAATATGTTCACAAAACCTCTTTCATTTAGGCTCAAGATTTTTTCTTAAAAAATTGTGTGTTTTAGGGACAGATAGATGGCTTAGCAGGTATACATATTTGTCACACAAGCCCAGAATTTGAAAACCTGGAACTCAGGAAAAAGTCAGACACTGTGTAATGTGTCTACAATCCCAGCACTTTTATAGTACATGGGAGGTAGAGATAGTAAAATCCTAAAGAGGTTTCCCAGCCTGCTCACCTGGAGTAAGTGGCCAAGTGCCAAATAAAATAGAAAACTTTCCTCAAATAAGAGGGAAGGCAAAGCCATCACACAGGGTTGTGCTGTGTCTTGGATGGGAATATCATGGGGTGCATTTCCCCTGACACAAAAGCAAGTATGTGAAGGTGAGGGATGCTAGACCATGTTTAGAATATATGGTATGTACGAAGTGTATTTTCAATAAAAAATACACACACAGGCTTTGCTTTTTAATTCATCTGACTTTAAATTTACATGAATGGAGAAAAAGAAAGGAATCATTTGCTTTTGAAAGCTGAACTCATTTTGAATACCAAGTGTCCTATGTAGAGCTGCTCTTGTTGTGAAGAAACTCCATGACCCAAATCAGCTTTGGGAAAAAGGATTCATTTGGCTTATGTGTCCACATCATAGTCCATCATTAGTGGACGTCAGGGCAGGAACCCAAAGAGGAAAGGAACCTGGGGGCCAACTGATACAGTGGCCACTGAAGGGAGCTGCTTCCTGGCTAGTTCATTCTATTTTGTTATACAGCTCGGGACCAGAAGCCCTGGAAGGCACCACCCACTATGTACTGGGTCCCCATGTATCAATCACTAACTAAGAAAATGCCTTACAACTAGATCTTATGAAGGAGGCATTTTCTCAATGGAGTCTTAGTTCTTTGTACTCATTGTGGACAACTGTCCCTAACCAGATTAGCTGTTTCAGGATTTTGGGTGCACAGATTCACATCTGAACAACACAGTGTCAAGACATTTCAGACAGAACAAGAAAAAAAAATATAATCTGTTAATATCATTTCATTGTCATGATGGACACCCTAATGTATGTGATTGTTCAGAAATCACTTAAAGCAGAGTGAGTGATCAAAGAGACAACATGTTTTTTTTAAAAAACTGCTTATGTTGAACATAGTACATTGAAAAAATATATAAGAAGCAGAACAAAAATACTAAAAGTATTATAAATTTCACTATTGAAAATAAAGCTGACACTTTGCAACGTAAACAATATTAATGTGAAGTTGACTTAAGTTGTAGAAAATTGTCAATCAATCAGATTAGGAATGAGAAACTGTTGTTTTTAAATGGGAAGCTGAGCCCTGGTGAAACTGTTCTTTTGTTTATGTTGGAACAGTCTCTTTCCTAGCTCACACTCCCTGTGTGCTAGGCTTTCTCAATATGAGCTTCTGAGTTGAAGCCATATTCCTCCTACCATTTTAGTATTCATTACTTAAGCAATGTCATCCTCAAGAACAGCACTAAGATTATAAAAAAAGACAGTACCTATTTGGTTAAAGCACTGAATGTTCATCTGCACCATTATGTATGAAAAACTCTGCCATCTCATGTTGGTTTTCATACAAGGCAAGTTTATATGGTGTCAACCCATACTGTAAAGAAAAATATTTCATTTTACAAATTGACATGCTTCTCAACTGAAAATTTATCACAAATTTTGTAAACAAAAAGAGTCACAAAAGGATAGATTTTCCTTCAGCCCTTGCTGCAGATTCACACGCACAGGGGTTCCATTCCCTTTGACACACCTTCCGCTGTCCAACAATGCTCACTCATCTTCAGAACTTTCCACAAATGCTTGCTGGTTCCAAGCTTTTTAGCTCCATGGAGATGTGCCTCCATTGCCCCAACCTTAAAACATGGAGTTAGATTTGGTGTGCCTTTGTTGAATGAGTGAATTCAAGTGGCATCTCTGGAGTAGTTTCTCAATCTTTTTTTTCAAAGCTATTTTTCCCTAAACTAAAAATTATCTCCCAAACCAAACATCATTTCCTATTGTAGTGGTCCAAAAAATGCTGAATATAGACCCTAGACTCAAACGGTATGTAACACGAAGAGTGCTTATTCTCCAGAAATAGCCAGCATGCAACAGTCCATCACCCATATAAAATGTTAATGAAGACCAGGAACAAAGACACACAGGCCCTTTTAAAGGGAATTCGGGGAATTCTTAGTATCTTTGTTATAACTGGGCAATCAGGGAGTAGTTACATGGGGAGCATGTTGATTAGATGGGGCTAGTAACATTTTCATCCATTGTGGGATTTTTCTGTCACACATGGTCGGTACCAGACAGATCCTGCAGCTCTGGGTCTCTCAGCTTTATAAGAACAGGTTTGGAACTGTTTAGACAATTGGCTAAACTTGACTGGGTAACTTCCTGGATTCAGGGTTAGGTCACAATTACAGTAAAGTGGCTCCTTGTCTAAGAGAGAGTCACATTCACCTATAAAAAGGCACAGGTTAAGAGAATGGATACAAAAACAGGATCCAACATTCTGCTGTTTACAAGAAACACACCTCAAACTCAAAGGCAGACACTACCTCAGAGTAAAGGGTCGGGAAAAGGCTTTCCAATCAAATGGTTCAAAGAAACAAGCGTATGTGGTTATACTAATATCTAACAAAATTGATTTTAAACTAAAATCAATCAGAAGAGATGGAGAATTACAGTTTATTATCATAACAGGAACAGTTTATCAGGAAGAAGTCTCAATCCTGAATATCTATGCCCCTAATATAAAAGCATCCACATACGTAAAAGATACATTACTAGAACTCAAAGATTACATCAAACCCCTCACTCTAATAGTAGGCTATTTCAACACTCCTCTCTCACCGATGGACAGGTCAACCAGGCAGAAACTTAACAGAGAAATAAGAGAACTAACAGATGTCATGAACCAAATGGACCTAACAGACATCTATAGAACATTCCACCCAAACAGAAAAAAAATATACCTTCTTCTCAGCATCTCATGGAACCTTTTAAAAAATTGATCACATAATTGGTAACAAAGCAAACATTCATAGATACAAAGAAATTGTAGTAACCACCTGTGTACTATTGGATCACCATGGAATAGAGTTAGAATTCAACAACAGTTCTACCCCCAGAAAGCCTACAAACCCATGGACCCTGAACAGTCAACTACTGAACCACCCGTGGGTCAAGGAAGAAATAAAGAAATTAAAGTCTTCCTTGAATTTAATGAAAATAAAGACACAACATACTCAAACCTATGGGACACAATGAAAGCAGTGCTAAGAGGAAAGATCATAGCACTAAGTACATACATAAAGGAAGCGGAGAAAGCACACATTGGAGCCTTAACAGCACACCCAAAAGCTCTGGAAAAAAAGAAGCAGACTAACCCAGGAGGAGTAGAAGACTGGAAATAATCAAACTGAGGGCTGAAATTAACAAAATAGAAACACAGAAAACAATCCAAAGAATCAATGAAACAAAAAGCTGGTTCTTGGAGAAAATCAACAAGACTGGCAAAGCCCTATCCAAATTAATCAAATGGCAGAGAGAGAACATGCAAATTAATAAGATCAGAAATGAAAAGGGGGACATAACCACAGAAACACAGGAAATTCAGAGAATCATTAGATCTTACTACAAAAGTCTGTATGCCACAAAATTGGAAAATATAAAAGAAATAGACTTTTTTTTAGATAAGTACCATATACCAAAGTTAAATCAAGACCAGGTGAACAATTTAAATAGACCTGCAAGTTGCGAAGAATTAGAAGTTGTTATCAAAAACCTCCCTACCAAAGAAAGCTCAGGACCAGATGGTTTCAATGCAGAATTCTACCAGAACTTCCAGGAAGAGCTATTACCTATACTCCTTAATGTATTCCACAATATAGAAACAGAAGAATCATTGCCAAACTCCTTTTATGAAGCTACAGTTACTCTGATACCAAAACCACACAAAGACACAACCAAGAAAGAGAATTAAAGGCCAATCTCACTCATGAACATCGACGCGAAAATTCTCAATAAAATACCAACAAACTGAATCCAAGAACACATTAGAAAAATTATCCATTATGATCAAGTAGGCTTCATCCCAGAGATGCAGGGTTGGATCAACATATGCAAATCTATCAATGTAATCCATCATATAAATAAACTGAAAGAAAAAAACCATATGATCATTTCATTGGGTGCTGAAAAAGCATTTAACAAAATTCAACACCCCTTTATGATAAAGGTCTTGGAGAGATTAGGGATACAAGGATCATACCTTAATATAATAAAAGCTATATACAGCAGGCCAACAGCTAACATCAAATTGAATGGAGAGAAACTCAAAGTCATTCCACTAAAATCAGGAACAAGACAAAGCTGCCCACTCTCACCATATCTCTTCAATATAGTGGTTGAAATTCGGGCAATAGCAATAAGACAACATGAGATCAACGGGATTAAAATTGGAAAGGAAGAAGTTAAACTTTCGTTATTTGAAGATGACATGATAGTGTACATAAGCAACCCCAAAAACTCTACCAAAGAACTCATACTAAAGAACACCTTTAGTAATGTGGCAGAATATAAGATCAACTCCAAAAAAATCAGTTGCCCTCCTTAACACAAAGGATAAAGAAGTAGAGAGGGAAATCAGAGAAACATCACCTTTCACGATAGCCACAAATAGCATAAAATATCTTGGGGTAACTCTAATCAATGAAGTGAAAGATCTATTTGACAAGAACTTTAGTCTTTGAAGAAAGAAATTGAAGAAGATACCAGAAAAAGGAAGGATCTCCATTGCTCTTGGATTGGGAGGATCAACATAGTAAAAATGGCAATTCTACCAAGAGCAATCTATAGATTCAATGCAATCCCCATCAAAATCCCATCAAACTTCTTAACAGACCTTGAGAGAACAATAATCAACTTTATATGGAAAAGAAACCCAGAAGAGCCAAAACAATCCTATACAATAAAAGTACTTCTGGAGGCATTACCATTTCTGACTTCAAACTCTATTATAGAGCCACAGTAATGAAAACAGCTTGATATTGGCATAAAAACAGAGATGTTGACCAATGGAATCAAATCGAAGACCCGATATTAACCCACAAACCTATGAACACCTGGTTTTCAACAAAGGAGGTAAAATTATACAATGGAAGAAAGAAAGCATCTTTAACAAATGGTGCTGGCATAACTGGATGTCAACCTGTATAAAAATGAAAATAGATCCATATCTATCACAATGCACAAAACTCAAGTGCAAGACCTCAATATAAAACTGACCATGCTGAACCTGATAGAAGAGGAAGTGGGAAGTAGTCTGCAACACATGGTCACAGGAGGCCACTTCCTAGGTAGAACCCCAGTAGCACAGACAATAGGAGCAACAATGAATAAATGGGACCTCCTGAAACTGAGAAGCTTCTGTAACGCAAAGGACACTGTCACTAAGACAAAAAGGCTACCTTCTGACTGGGAGAAGATCTTCACCAACCCCTCATCAGACAAAGGTCTAATCTCCGAAATATACAAAGAACTCAAGAAACTAGACACTAAAACTCTAATTAATCCAATTAAAAAATGGGGTACTGAACTGAACAGAGAATTCTCAAGAGAAGAAGTTCAAATGGCCAAAAGGCACTTAAGGTCATACTCAACCTCCTTAGCGATCAGGGAAATGCAAATCAAAACAACATTGGGATACCATCTTACACCTGTCAGAATGGCTAAAATCAAAAACACCAATGATCGCCTATGCTGGAGAGGTTGTGGAGTAAGGGGAACACTCATCCGTTGTTGGTGGGAATGCAAACTTGTGCAACCACTTTGGAAATCAGTATGGCGGTTTCTCAGGAAACTGGGAGTCAACCTACCTCAGGATCCAGCAATTCCACTCTTGGGAATATACCCAAGAGATGCCCAATCATACTACAAAAGCATTTATTCAACTACGTTCATAGCAGCACTATTTGTAATAGCCAGAATCTGGAAACAACCTAGATGCCCCTCAATAGAAGTATGGATAAAGAAGGTGTGGCACATATATACTTTAGAGTTCTACTCAGCAGTAAAAACAATGATATCTTGAACTTTGCATGCAAATGGATAGAAATAGAAAACATTTTACTGAGTGGGATAACCCAGACCCAAAAAGAGGAATATGGTACATACTCACTAATAAGTGGATTCTAGCCATAAACAAAGGACATTGAGCCTATAATTCATGATCCTAGAGAAGCTAAATAAGAAGGTGAACCCAAAGAAATTTATATATTTATCCTCTGGGATATTGGAAGTTGACAAAATTTCCGGGCAAAAGTTGGGAGCAGGGAGTGGAGGTAGACTGGGGGAAAAGGGAGATGGGAAGAGAGAAGGGAGGGGGAGTATTGGGGAGAGCTTGGGGGAATGGGATAATTGAGATGTAGGAATGGTGGATATGGGAGCAGGGGAAGAAGTTATCCTAACCAAGAGAGACATTTTAGGGTTGGCTAGAGTCTTGGCTCTAGAGAGTTTCCCAGGTGTCCAAGGAGATTTCCCCAACTAGTTCTGTCAGCAGCAGAGGAGAGGGTGCCTGAACTAGCCTTATTCTATAGCCACACTGATGAATATCTTGCATATCACCATAGAACCTTCATCTGGCGATGGATGGAGATAGAGACAGAGACCCACATTGGAGCACTGGACTGAGCTCCCAAGGTCCGAATGAGGAGCAGGAGGAGGGAGAATATGAGCAAGGAAGTCAGGACCTTGAAGGGTGCATCCACCCACTGAGACAATGGGACTGATCTAATGAGAGCTCACCAAGGCCTGCTGGACTGGGACTGATAGAGCATGTGATCAAACTGGACTCTCTTACTGTGGCTGACAATGAGGGCTGACTGAGAAGCCAAGGACAATGGCACTGAGTTTTGATTCTACTGCATGGACTGGTCTTGTGGGATCCTAGTCTGTTTGTATGCTCACCTTCCTAGACCTGGAGGGAGGGGGGAGGACCTTGGACTTCCCACAGGGCAGGAAACCCTGACTGCTCTTATGACTGGAGAGGGAAGGGTAGAGGGAATGGGGAGAGTGGGAGGGTATTAGGAGGAGAGAGTGGAAATTTTTATAAATAAATAAAAGAATAAGATCTCCTCATTAATTTGGGAGTGTGGGCACCTTGGTGGAGGGTTGAAGGGGGAGGGGAGAGGCAGGGAGGGGACCAGAGAAAAATATAGAGTTCAATAAAAATCAAAAAAAAGTTAAGGTGTAGGAACCACAGGGTGGTTCATCAGGTTAGGGCACCCACTGGCAGACCCAATGGCCTGTGTTCAATCCCCAGAACCCACGACATGGCAGAACACAACTGTCAAATATAGTTCTCTTTTGACCTTCACACACTTACTTTTTAGGTATGGGGCATATGTGTAAACACATTTAATTTTTTAATGAGATGAAAAGAAATTGATGAAGACAATTCCAACCTCTAACCTTCATGTATGTACCAAAGCACACACACAGTTATAGTTCATGTTGAAAATTTCCTTATGAGATACCTCAGCAAACATGAAACACTTAGACGTAAGATTTCTTGGTGATTCGTTTTTACCTTCAAGTTGTCATTTTATGTGAAAATTTATCTCATGTTACAATTTTCTGTGTTGCATATAACATAGCATAAAAATATATGCATTAAGGGCTGGAGAGATGGCTTGGCATTTACGAGATCTAGTTTTTCCTGTAGGGGATCTGGGTTTGGTTCCCAGCACCCACATAGCACATCACAACTGTCCATAACTCCAGTTCCAGGAGATCCAATGCCCTCTTCTGATGTGTGTGTGGTACAATGAAAATACATGCAGGCAAAACACTCAAATCTAAAAAAAATTTAAGTGTACACATAAAAATATGTATGTGGTTTTATTAGCTAAATCCCTTTAAAGTGCCCAATAAAGTTCTCTAAATGAGACAGTGTAAAACGATTTGTAAACTAATTGAAGTTCTTGTTTTGCTTCTCTTAAAGAAGCCCTCAGAGCTACCCTTCCAAGATGTGCAGGTTTTAGATGCCTAGCAGCCTAAAGCAGGCACAAAAACCAGTGGTTTCCATGAAAGAAGAGTCTTAAGCATGACACCTGCCCTCCCTCAGGCAGCTCTGGAAGGTGTGTTTCTCTCTGGTAGCCCCTGACTGTCCCAAATAGTTTCTGCTTCTCCTGCCCCTCCTGCTCCTCCTGCCCCTCTTGCCCCTCGCCCCTCCCCAGGCCCCATTACCTGCCACTCCTGTCATATTGGTTCATATGTATAGACTGAAGTTGATGAGTCTCTCAACTGAAGCCACATCGCCCACACTGGCCGCCCTGTGGAGCTGTCATACACCATTAATTAGAGGGGAAATTCCTGCCTTTTACAACCCAAGCACCCATGACTCAGACATGCGGGCCACAGGCAAGTGTACTGCTGAGGGGCTCTAATGATATGGGCATTGTAATCAAGGTCCTCCTGCACGTTGAGCCTCAAGACTCCACAGGCCCTCCCGGCCCTCCCTGCCTTTAGCCACCCACACCCTCCACCCTCCCAAACCCAACAGTAAAAATCAAAACACTGGTTAAGTCTTCCCACTGATCCAAAAGAACGTCCTGCCAGGGCAGGTCCTTGGTTCAGTGTGAGCTGAACTCTGTTTCATCCTTAGCAACCCAGTTCCACGGGCATAAGTGATGTGCTGTGAGCACACAGTGGTCCTCAGTGACTGTGCACCCTGCATGCCCAGGTCAGACTCCAGCAACAAAAGCCTACAGTGCTCAGCACATGAAGACAAAAGATTGTATGTTTTCTCTTTTAAGGATGTTACCTTTTATGGTTCTGATATGGGAACTACAATCTGAATAACCATAGAGGTTTGGTACCTACTAAGGGACCAGGAGGGAGGAGAGTATCTCTCAAGGAAAGGAAATAGTCTATAGTGTTATGAAGCTACAAAGGAAAACTAGAGTTGGGTGGTTTAATGAAAGGGGGATGGGACAGAAAGGTCAAGAGGGAAAACAGAGAGGGACAACCAATACTAGAGGTCCTTTGAAAAACTATATGGGAACGAACCACCTTTGGAGCTTCCTATACATATGTGAAAGAAATCCACAGGGAGACAAAAAACAACAGGAGAGAAGGCTTCAAGTAGACATTTTGTGCCACAAAATTAAACCTCCAGTGCCAGGAACAGGTTACAGCCTGTTGAGTTATTAACAAAAGGGACCCATGGAAACCACCAAATAGCACAGGCTATTGCCAAGGCTCTTGGTTCCTCACACAACCTGATGTTAAGGTCTTGTTTCTGGAGGTAACACTTCTGTCATTAAACATGGAGAAGTTGAGCTGGTGTCCAACTAGATTATTCACCTACTTACCAGAGTTCAGGGTACTAGAAGGTAGGAGATAAAGGCCAAGGGAGAAAGGGAAGGGAATAAGGAAGAGAGGAAAAGGTGGGCAAAAGAGAGGGAGAAGAGGTATTTGTCCCTGGGGGGCAAATGACTGCCTCTGGATAAAGAGAAAACAGACGTGACCCATAGGCAAGTGACAGTTTCTAAAAGACATTTGTCTCATCAAAAATTTCTATTGCTGTAAAGAAACACCATGACCATGACAACTCACAGTTTCAGGGGTTCAGTCCATTATCATCATGGCAAGGAGCATGGCAGCGTGTAGGCAGACGTGGTGCTGGAGCAGCTGAAGGTTCTTCTTCTTGCAGGTTACAGGGAGTCAACTGGGACACTGGGAAGTATCCTGGGCATGGGAAACATCAAAGCCTGCCCCCACTGTAAGCATTAAAGCTTGGATGGAAAGGTTTCCTGGCAGTTAGGAGCCAAGGAATACCACAAAGTAATATCACACAACAAACCTCACACAAGACAATTTTTGGAACAGGAAAACCCAGAAGACTGACGGCCAAAGCTTGCAATTGAGAAACAGCAGCAATCTGAACAGGATACAGGGCTCATATAGAGTTTCTTGGGGAGAGGGTAGAGCTCTCCAGGTTGGAGATTGGTGGGATTTCATGTTCAGAGACTGGGCTTCTTACTCTGAAGGGTGGGGCTAGGTCCAGCAGTTAAGGCAGTTAGAGTGTCCTGTGAGTGGAACCTGGCAGTTGGAGGTCATGTGACTTGAGGGGCTTACATTCCCCCCCTTTTTGTTGTTTATTATTAATAAACAATTATGTCGTGGGAAAGAGGAGCAATGTTATTGTTAAGACAACTTAGTGTTGAATCATGGCGGCAAAGCCTTTTTGGGCAAACTTGATCTTTACCATCAAAGTATATTTGGGAGTCGCTGGCCTCTGGCTCTGTAGCTAGGAGCGAATAATCCTGTAATAGCAACTGATTAAAAGTCTGATGAGTAAATTTTTCTATCTGTTGTTGAAGAAATCTAGATAAGAAGTTTATAAGGCAAGATGCAACCAGTAGGATTAAGGAAGGTAGGAGAAACGGGTTAAAAAGGGTAGTACCCAATTCCATATTGGACTGTCAATGAGCCACTGAGTAGAGGCATCAAGCTGTTTCTTATGTTTTTGAAGGTCCAGCTGGAGTTGTCAGATCTTGTCTTTTACTACACCTTACTGCTTGACATAGAAGCAATATTCCTCCCTGAGGAAGAGAAAAATACCACCTCTCTCTTCCGTTTGTAGTAACAGAGTGAGGCTTTAATAAACCCCAAGTCAAAGGAGGAAGAGTGAAAGAGTCATAAAATGAACTCTGCTGGAGGCAAGAAAGAAGCCCAGGAAGAGACAGAGAATCTATGAGACTTCCAGGTGCAGCGGAGAGACAGGAGGAACAAGGTCACAGAGGCCCAGAGGCATAAAGGAAGCTGCAGGACTTAGCAGGTAGCGCGTGGGGGGGGCCCCCAGGAACATTGCGACAGATAGGCCCAGGAGGGTATTAAGAGAGATAGATCAGGTAGTTCCAAGGGAAAGGGGGCAAGAAAAGGTCACAGAAGATTCATTCTTAAAAGGTTTTCACTAGCATCAGGTTTTTTTGTTTTTTTGTTGTTTTTTTTTTTTTTTTTTTTTTGGTTTTGGGTCTTTTTCATCTCCTCAGTGGTACACCTTGAAAGCCAGAGTGAAGACTTCTACGTGTGGAGTCCTTTCTCTAGATGTTTAAGTTTGGACCTAATGTTTGGGAAAATCTGGGAGAAGTAGGTCATAAATTGTTTTGTGTGGAGTCTGAGGATCCAGGTTTGGAATATTGCAAGAGCGCTTTTGTAAGGCAGTCTAGGAATTGCGCTGGATTTTCATGTTTGTCCTGGAGGACCTCTTGGGTTTTTTTCATAATTTACTATTTGAAGTGTGGCCCTTTGAAGACCTGTGAGAAAGCAAGTTACAAATTGCTCCCTAGCAAGGATGGGCTGTCAGGGACCACCTCAGCACTGACTGGAAGGGCAGCCTGTAACTGAGAAGGGAGAAAGGGAAACCAGAGAGGCTGGAGAAAAAGAGAAGAAATTGTGGGTTGAGGTGCATGAGGAGGAGGCTGTGAGTGTGGCTGAAAATAGAGGAAGAATCATCTGGTTTTTAGCTCACCGCTAGGAGTTTCAGCTCTGGCTATAGACAGAGGACGCTTGGGGAGAGAGCTGAGAGATGCACCAGTCTGTGAAGATCCAGTGTAGGTTGTGTGCCTGATACAACTGACCCTTTCCTTTGCTTCCTCCCCTTCTTGCTGTGTCTGGCTACTGGGCCCACTTTGCAACAAACTTACAGATCTGTCCTTGGTAAATTGAAAGACCCGACATTCACACTGTGTGTGGTGCAAAGACTAGACAAAAACAAACAGCACTTGGAGCTGAGAAATGAGAAATGGGGAATTTCTTTCCGTTTGCACGGATCACTCACAATATTTGTAAAGGTCCCACAATATTAGGATCTAAGGTGTCATTAGGTGGCCCTTTGGATTGATTATCTAAGGGATACTGAAACTAAATTTGATTAAAAGAGTAAATAAATTTAGGGCCTTACAGGTCAGGTGCCAGATGTAGAGGTTACAGATTTTCTAAGAAGCATTCAAGGGGAAAAGAGAGGGTATGGAAGACACAGTCTTATGGATGAGAGAGAAGGAAAATGTTACTGCAGACTGTAGTTGCGGGTATAGTACTCAGGAATGACCAAGCCTTTCAGTGGGTTGTCCCCACACTTGCCGAGGGGTCAGGCGCTTAGCCTGGCTAAGCCAGTGGGGATACTTGGTGCCTGGTACCAGGGCTTTTGTAGAGACTGGAAGGTGAGGACAAAAACTGAGCTCCAGGAGGAGGGGTCTAGTCCACAGCAAAGGGTTGGGAACAGGATCCCAACCAGAGGACATAGATGAGCTGTGGGATTATGGGAAACGCTGAAGGGACAGCTTTCCCAGCTGACGTGTTAGAGTTTTGTTCCAGGCGGGGAGGCCTCCCCAGCAAAGTGTTAAAAGTTCTGCTCCAGTGAAAGTTACTGCTCTGCTCTGGAAAAAGCCACTGATTGCCCTGCTCCACTCTCCTCCGAAGGGAAGATGGGAGAAGAGGCAGGAAGGGGGCAATAGCCTGACTTGTCCTAAGGAAACTGCAGGATCGCAGCTCCAAGGGTGGGGGGGATCGTCAGGTGGAGATGGTCAGCAGGGAACCCCTGCCTCCAGAGTATCAGAGCGGTGCGGAATACTCAACAGTCACTTCCTCTGACAGGGAAACATTTATATCACTGTTTGGGAAATCCTCATGCTCAGAGCTCACCACCGAGGGCACAGGCGTCTTCCCTGTGTGGTAGCATGTATCCTGCTTCGGATGAGTGGCTCCTACTCCCCTTGGTGACTCTCAGGTGCCCTCGGCACTGTAGAGCTTCTCTATAGGGACAGTTTGAACTGGACTCAGCGCCCATTTTCCATTGTCGGGGGGCTTGAAATGATATGTTTTAAAAACATAGTGGGCAGCGAGCCTGAAAGTCAGAAGTCAAGCACTTTTATAGCTATGTTTCTTGAAGTCAGTAAAACAAATCAGCTCCAGTTAGAATCTCATTTTGGTGAATTCTCCAAATAACTAATGTGCAAGTCAACTGTATTTATGTGTCTTTCATGTGAATGGACACACAAAACAAAGGTGAATGGTATGAATGTCCCAACTAGAGCCTTCCAGGGCCTAACTTTGGAATTATTCTTAACTAGTAGTATTGTTCATTCAGGACTCACTGAACTTTTACACCCTCAGCTACAATTTAAGGTGTGTGTCCATGTGTATTTTCCTACAGGTGTGTGTGTGTGTGTGTGTGTGTGTGTGTGTGCTATTTCACTTTGGCCAAGCCTCCATAGCCCTTCCCTACCACTATTACTTTATCACTGCTGGCTCCCCAGTTGTGGTCCTATTGTTGGTGAGTCATAGACTAAGCCCCGTTCAGGACCTAGAGTTTCTGTGATCACAGGAGTCAATTGCTGACTAAGGCCTGAGTCGGGCACAGGACAGAAACAGTTGTTACCTGGGCAGAGTAATCTCATCCACTCCCTTCATCCCTTCCCGTACATAGGAAACGATGGGGTGGTGCCGCTGAAGACACCAGAAGAAATCCTGGCTGAGAAGAATTTCATCACTGTCCCCTGCTGCCACATCCACGGCTGTCACGCCGGTGTAGCAGAAATGCTGACTGGACGGGCTGTTGCCGTAGGATCGGGGCCTGAGCTCCACAGAGCTGTGCCCCAGGCTGTCCCTTGGCAATCAGCTGTGGTCATGATGCCACCTGAGTTGCCACCTGCACTGACTCGACCTCGCTGCCCTTGGCGCCGATATGGCTGTCTTTTCCTTGTCTTTCTGTTCTTTGTGATTCTTACATCTTGCCAACAGATCAGACTATTCCAGGAAGTTGCTGATACAAACAAGACTGCTGAGGACATTTTGAGCTCTGCCCCACCATTCTTTAAAGCCTTTAAGGAAGTAGTCAGTTCTGGTAATTGGGGGTCATCGTTAGGACAATTCTTTGATGATGTGGAGCAAAAGGAGTTGCTCTTATCAGGAGAAACCTTAGAAGCCTTCTGTAGGAAAACAGTTGCAGCAGTCCCCACTAGGCACCTGCCTGGGGGATATGTGCAGTTGCAAACAAGAGGCAGATGGTGGTCGCCCCCACGCTGACCCTAGAGTCTGGTAATTACCTTGATCCACTCCCATACACAGGAGGCCTATGAAGCCTTTCTTGTGGGCAGAAAAGACCTAGGCTGATAACAACATCTGAGCCTGAGAATCAGGAAGGGAGGAGAGTTGAGGTCAATGGTATGAGATGAGTTTCAGAGAAGTTTGAGATCATGTCTTTGAGCAATAACCACAACTGACATTTAGAATAGACAATGGATACATAAATTTGCTGATTCTTGTTAAATGAAAATGCTGTTTCTTTTGTTTCTATTTTATGATCTGATGATGTATGCCTTTGTCAAGTTCTTTGATTGTAAAAGAATATAAACCTTGCGCTGATTGAAGTAAAGTTGCAGCAGCATATTCAACCACATTGAATGTGTCTGTCTGTCATTTCCTCGCCAATTCCTGAATTCTCCTGAGCCTTCGCCCTTGTTCTCCCTCGGTCTGTGGTCTCCACGAGAGGCGGTCCGTGGCACCCTGCATCATTGGTATTAACAAACAAGAGTTTGGCTCCTTCCCGTGGTGAGAACATACTGGCCTCTTAGACATACACACCACCAGAGCCTCACTCTCTGCTCCCATAGGTCCATTCTACTCCCAGCCTCCTCTGAGCTCAGGGC